GGCCTGGATGAAGAACACGGCTAAAAAATTCTTGTGCGTGGAGAACAAGAAAAGAACAAACAAAATAATCATAGTTTTCTCCATATAACAGAAACAAATCAGAGAAATTTTCTAAGCACCACTCTTCATTTCGTCGTATACTCATCGTCAGTTAAAATTGTCTGAAAGCTAAGCTCTTATCCTGAATGGCGAATTGTTTGAAGGAGGAGTCTTATTTGCGAGGAGAAGAGTTGGGCTTGTGAGATGTCAAGCCCATGGCCCAATTTCTACGGTGAATTTGGGCATGGATATGGTCTGAAATCTAAATCCGGAAATCTAGGATGTGATGGGCTCCAAATGAGACTTCGCTTGTAGCAGCCGTGTTCCCTCCAGTAGAAACAAGGGAACCGTGGCTCAACTGGTTCCGTTATACAATGTAATTCAAAAAGATCTATTTATTATTTTCAGTGTCTTCGAGGAAATATTTTCTATTATCAACAAAATTTACTCATTATATTTTAAAAGAAGAAGAAGAAGAAGAAGAAGAAGAAAAAAAGACATTAAAAAAGTGAATTATCTTTGGCCCAAAAAAAAAAAATTGTCTGTCTATCACTTCATCAATAGTAGTGTATTACCCTTTAACCTCTGATGGATCCATCCCCTCCGCAGCCAATTGTAGCTCATTGACATAGGATGTTCATGAGATGGGAGGAGATAAGGATACTTCTATCTTGTGTCTCGTCTTGAAATATTATTAAGATCAAATTGTTGTCCCATGTTTTGTCCCATCCCATTAGAAATTGGGACAAGACCGGAACAGCAATAAATAATGTGAAAAAAATGTCTAGATAATAATATTTATTAATTAAAATTTTAAATCACGTAATTTATTAAGTTTTAAAACCAAAATAACATGACTACATAAATCACAACATTTATTGAATTACATCAATCACAATTATAAATATACATGAGACATGATACATTATGATAGTGGTTACAAGTGATCTCTTTGCTCTAAGAGAAACAATAAGAGACAAGCCCGACACAACATCAAGTCTTTGTTTTTCTTCTTTAGTTAAGATATATTAAGCTAGTGACTCTTTTGAAAATAAAACAAAAAATATGATGTAAACAAAAGTCATTAAATATGTAAATATAATAATCAATTATATTAATATAATTAATATATGGTAAAGAAAAATATTACCTTGTATTGTTTACTTTATTTCATTAAAATTATCAATATAAAAAATTTTAGTTTTAAATAAAAATAGCACGTATTGAAATTATAATTGATGTAAGTATAAATTATATCAATATATTTAATGTATACATTTAAAATAAAAAATAATATATGCATCTATATAATATTTGGGACCCAACAAGACATTCTGAAAGCAATCTCATGTCCCGTCCTGTCCGAACCTCTTTTCCATCTCGTCCTGCAAAGTTTCATTCTAATTGTTTTTGAAGTTGGGATAAGACCCATCTCAACATGATCAAGACAAAATCGCGCTAATTATAATGGGTATAAGTTGAATATCCTCACATTAATAGTTTTTTTAGTAGCAAATGCAAAGTCTTCTATTATTTACCCAACCTTCACTTGCCTTCCAAGTCAATCCCTTCCGCATTTATTTACATAATTAAATAATCATTAATGCATTTTAACTATATCAATTAGTTGTGGTCTTTTATATTAATTATTACTCCCTCAAGTCTTTTTATAAGAGTTTTTACAAAAATTATCATTCTTATAAGAGGCTTTACACATTTTTAAAAGAATTCATTACTCTTGAGTCCCTTTTGAAACACATACACATGTTTAATGTTCAGCCATGTCTTGAATAGATTGTCTCCAAAAAATAAATACATGTGTATAGTGAAAAAATAACTACCTATATCATAATTTATAAGATATTTTTAAAAAAGATTTGATATCTCAAAATATAATAAACTTTAAAAAATTGAGGTTTTATTAATTAAGCTTGTTTCAATCTCTCTTACTCTTTAATTTTCATCTCTCTCTCTCTCTCTCTTCTCACTATGTTAAATGAAGGATATTTTTTTAAAATTTATATTTTTATTTTAAAAAACTAAAATTGTTAAGTGTATTTGATTAAATTTATTGGCTTGCAAAATTTTATTTAAAAGTATCTCGTAATTTGTTGTGAAGAGAATATTAATTACTTGTTTCCAAATTGCTGTTAATTATGTGTAGAAAGACAAGACTACAATATCTTAATGAATTTTATTGAAAAAATATGTACATATTTCGTTAAAGTTATCAATTTTAAATAGTTTGTTTTTTAATACATGTTAGAGTAGTTGAACGTCTCTTATATATTATGCTACTTTCAGTTTAAAATATAAACATTTTTGCTCAACTAATTTTGTTCAAAATATAAATAACTTGATATATGTAAAGAAAATTCATTTTATCACTTATATTATTAACCTTAATATTCATATAAATGTATTTCTCACTCATCATAAAATATATTAGTAATTATAACTATGGATAAAAAGAAGAAAAAATATATATTTTTATGAGAATGAAGATTGTATTAGTACGTAAATTTTTTTTAATAAAAAAGTGCTTATATTTTGAATTAGAAGTATTAATTAAAATTCAAAATACTAGTAAAGTAAATTAAGTTATGGGATGGTAATAGGGGCATAACTTGGCTTAATTATTGCAAGTGAAATGCAGGAATGCATGAATGAGGCCTTTTCCACCGATCTGCTCTATGTTGACGAAAAATAATGAAGGTGTGCATGATAGCGTATACTTTACTTCAAGCAAATTAATTAAGATATCCACTCATTAATGTTCACTATATTATAGGGATGGAGGATCTCACTTATGAAATTCTCAACACTTTCACGTGCTCTTCTTCAAAAATGAATACGGGGGATTCTCGCTCCTAATTAATACCCTTCAAACCCTATCATATTTTTATTATAGGATAACTTTTAAAAAGATTATTTAATTTTATAAGTTACTTGATGAAATATTAACTATAACTTTTAATACTATTTTTAGTTAAATTTATTAACTTTTCTTTTGTCAGCAATTTAAACTCATTAATTATAAAAATAGTGTCATATAAATTTTTAAAAAATTATTTAAATAACATAAAATGTAAAGTTTATTATATTTTTAGACAAACTTAATAATTTAATTATATCCCCTTAATTTTAGTGAGGTAATTAAAAATGTAGAAACAAGAAATGGTATACTATTATAACTTCGTTTTCAAATCACTTCTCTATCACCTACATTAGTTATCTTTTATAATTTGTGTTTATTATACTATATTCTGAATCATGTTTCCCGTAAACATAAACACTACATAATTCATAACACTTAAGATCCTCTTTTTTAATATCGGACTCAGCTTCCCTCCTTTCGTCATCCTCCTAAGTCCTATTAAATTTAGGCAATTCAGATTTATATTCAACTTGGACCGTCAATATTAAATATTTTAATTTAATTACAATATATTTATTAAAAAAGAAATTTATAATTTCTTTTATCAAATCTAATCAGCAATATAGACAATCTAAATTTAATAATAATTTTTTTGGTATTTTAATATTAAATTTACACTATTAAAAATATATTTGAATTATCAATTTATACAAATTTTTATTGAATCTAATCACCAGTCTAAAAATTCAGATTTAATATAAATATTCAAAATTAATATCAAAATTTTGATAATTTTAATGTTAAACTTGCACAATCCAAAATTTATATGGACAATCAATTTAAAAAAATTATAAATAAATTAATATTAATTTTGAACCATCCATATTGAATATGAATTTAAATTAATAATGAAACATATTTGTTAGGTTTTTATAATTATTAATAAACATAAAATTTATATTTATTTTTTATATTAATTAAAATTTGTAAAAAATTAATAAATATGTTTCATTATTAATTTATGCTAAATTTAGACGGTTTAAATATAATAAAGAATGCTTGTTAAAAAAATATATATAATAAGGAATGAGAAGAGGAAACCTAATACCCTCCCCTTTCTCTCTCTGTTCTTTTTCTTGGTGAAACTTAATCTATTTCTTTATCAGCATATCCAACTTTTGTTTTGGTAGAGCTAGTGATTTAATATTTTGTCTTGTTTCGAAGTATAAAAATCATTATATATATAGAGTATATAATTTTTTATTATATTTTAACTTAATGTATCTGACACAAAATTAAAACATCTGATACAATACATCCTTTCTTCACAGTAAAATAATTTAAAATGAAAATGAAAAAAAATACCTGACTGGCTTCCCTTCATTCCCCCCTTTCCATGTCCTCTTTACTTTCCATCTTGATTATTTGAATTCATTTTTTAATAATTAAAATTTAATATTTTATAAAATTATTATTAAAATATAAAATTTTATAAAAAATTAATTAATTTTATGAAACTTTTAAAAATGAATTCAATAATTGAGATGGAAGGTGGAGAGAAAATGAAGAGATAAAAAAAATGAGAGAAGTCAAGTTTGAAAAATACAAAAAAAAAAAAAGATATACATGTTCATGTCAGGCTGTATATGGGATTTTGTTAATCTATTAAGTTGAACTTTTTTTGGACTTTCATAGAATATATTTTTTCATAGGTTAAACACAGAGTAGGTAAAATATAAATTTTAAGGATAATACAAGTTTAATCACAAAATTTTATGTTAATTATTGATTTAATTTTTAAATTTTAACTTAATACATTTCAGTTATTATAATTTATTGAATTAAAAAATTATAAGGACCTTGTACTAAAATTAAATAATTACACGGACTATGCTGTTCCAAATCAAGAATGTGTATATTTATAAATTTAATTGTTATGAATCAAAATTTAAGAACTGAATTTACAATTTAAAAAATCAAGGAATTAAAATTTATATTTTTGCTAAAGGTTAAAACAACGTATATTTATCAATAAAAAACTCAGAACAACATAGTAAAATAAGGCAGAAAAAAGAGAGAGACATATAACAAAGATACAAATGAGGATATTATATTTAGTATTCAACTTGTTTGAGATTTACACAAGTGTCTATAAGCAATGGATGACTGGTTAGTCAAAATGCAAAATCCTAAAAAAAAAATACTAATATAACAAGAATTAATATTATTAAATAATCAGCCTGAGAAGCTTGCCCAAGAATGCCCAAAAATAAATTCCCCCCTCGGGGGGTTTGCAATTTATCACTAATCAGGGACACTTGACGTTTCTGCCGGGTCCACCGTAGTAAAAATAGTTGCCCCACACACGATTAACACCGCCTTGGATATCATAGCAATTCGGGTGGTCCGCAAGGACCCGAAGATTGGACAAAGGAATCAAGTTATTGTCCCAATCAACGACTTGCAAGTTTCGAAAGTAAGAGGCTCTTCCGAATCCTTCTTCCGCAAAATGCCCGCTTCCCATTTGGGTCATTGTGTGGGTACCCGACTCTCTCGAGTTCACTATTTCTCCTCCGAATTGAACCATGCTTGCATGTTGCCTCAGGTGCGTGAACAGCATCGCCGGCCAGTACCCGACTAGGATGCCCGACCCGAATTCCAACCACCAATTCCCGTGCTTCGGATCCTGTCATTCTCTAATCGGATCACAAAGGCGCTACTACGAGTCTACAATGGTTAACGAATACATTCTTTTTCGCAGCTATTTATTTTTGTTTCTAAAACTTATAAGAGAATTCCTAGACTTTTGCAGAGTAATAAAATTATAGTAACTTAAACTCCATAAAATTTATCACCATTCACTTAAATTCATGAAGTTATAAGAAATTTTTAATATTTTACAAAACGAAAATTTACAACTTAAATTTATTATTAAAGTTATAACAAATTTGGAATATTTCCTATCAATTTTTTATATTTTCATTATAACAATATTTTTATCCACCCAAGACAATAAAAAGAAGGTATTTATTACAAAATTAAAAATAATTCTTAAATGTCATCTTCCCGTAAATATAAGCCCTGCCTCTACTTTAGAGTTTTTAGACACAAAATTCAATGGCAACACGAGACTTCCAAAACAGTGGAGATCCCACCATTGACCCATCCTTTCCATTTTTTTTCCTTTGACTACGAAAAGAAAAAAAAAAAAAAACACCTCTTGGTCCATTTCACGACTTATGTGACAAAGCTTGACTTTTACCATTCACATTAAAAAGGTTAAAAAAAAAAATCAAATGAACTCACCTACCATAAATGAAAAAAGTATTAAATTTAAATCTGCTTCTTATTTGAATTTGAAAAATATCATTTTGAATTAATCAGTAATATTAAACATGAATTAATTGTGTAGAAGTATTAAATTTAAAGCAGAAATATAATTACCTTCCAAATAAGCAAGCTAATATCAAATTGTCCGCCCTTGTAAGAAGAAGTAGGTGAAATGGCAGCCCCAATTGCAATTCTATTGTTAGTTTGAACAAAGCCAGAGCACAATAAATTGTAACACCCAGTTGCTTGATAAGCATCACTCTGCATCCACACATATCATCTTACACTTGAACAACAAGCAAAACACAAACATTTAATAAGTAAAGACAACATTGTAATAAATCCACTTACAGTCCAATAAGTAAAGAATCTGGGGTAGCTGTCGCCATATAGCTCAGGGCTGACCTGCATCAAAATTGATGCAACTTAGCTTCTTTGCTTGCTTGCAATCCAAATATTATTAATTACACTGACAACGGCAAAAAAATTGAGAGGTAGGTGGTTGTTGGTGGTGGCCTTTTAAATGCTTATCTAAGTCGCTAAGTGTGATGCATTAATAAGAAAGTTCACGATACAGAGAAAAAACAGAGTGTTTTGTGTTGTAAATAATTTAATGAGTGAACAGTACCTGCCAGCCAGCTTCAATGGTGTTGAGATCTTGCCCAAATGAACCAGAAATGACCCAAATTTGAGACAAACTGAATTCATATTGATTCGTCACACGTGGAGCCCACACGTTTATGCTTGCTTTTGCTCCGTAATACTTATCACCACTCACAAATCCAACTGCATGCTGAACATAACACATAACCAAGTTTGTAATACAGTCACAGATTGTGAAATTTTCTTGAACAGGTTGGTGGGTGTGATTTGAAGATGAACATGAGCCTGTTTTGTTAAATCGTAAGAGAAAAAGACAGTTCTGAAGTTGTTGCTTTGGAGTAAGGGAAACTATTTGCAGAGGAATTCTGAAAAACTTTGGTCATCACTGTCGTAAACAAGAAAGAGGAATTAATTTGGGTGGTGTTTGGTGGTCAGATTTATGGTTATGGATTTAATTGTAGAATCAGAATGCGTAACAAAATGGCAATATTCTGTCATATTTTCTTGTATCTGTTCTTAGTTAAATGCTTGACTTCGTCAGAGGAGAGAAAAAGAAAAGAAAATTCTGGCTTTGAGATAGAAGAAGAATGAATGAATACCTCATGGCCATTACTATTTGAGTCCCTCCTCACACGGCCTCTGATTTTTCTTCCAAATCTGCGAACCGAGCTGGCTCTTAACATGTCTTCTTCTCTTGTTCTTCTGATTGGGATTGTTCCTTCAGGACATGATTCTCCAGACAAAGTCCATGTCTGAAAATTCTCATCACTCAACGAACCCATTTGGTAATGACTGGTTTTTGGTCTTTCTGGAGGATCCTGAAAATTAAAAAAAGAAAAGAATTCCAGTATTCTGGTTAAAATCCATATCAGTATCGGAGAACCCATTCAGATAAATATAATTTCAATACCAATGGTTTCTGTCCTTTGAGAAAAGGATGATCAAAAGCTGGTTGCTGATGAGACACGACACAGTCTATTATATCACCATCAGGACTCTGCGCAAAACCACACAAATATTCATGACATATGAAAACAAAAGGACACACACAAACAGAAAATTTGATGTACCTGAATTGTTTTAACATAAGGCTTGTTAATCTGGTGGAGACGAGTTCTTATGATGTTGAGCTAAGAAGCACCGATACGGGTACGAGTGTCGGGTACGATACGATACGATACGCGGACACGGCTATTTTTCAAAATTTTAGGATACGGGTACGGCTATATAAATAATTAAATATTAAATATTTGAATGTTTAAAAATACAATTTCAAGATGTCTAATGCCATCATAAAATATAATACAACAAATAGTTAAGTACTTAAATACTATCAAGTGGCAAAAAATAATTATCAACTTAAAATAATTCTAATAAAAATTTTAACATAAAGAGAGTCAATAAAAATTAAAAATAAATCAATGTTTAACTCAATAACATAATCCATCTAAATAAAAAAAATTTAATAATTCAGTATTAAATTTAAAAAACTGATCAGTTGTTCTGCCTCTCTCGGTTCAGCAGTGAAGAATTGAGCAATAAATATTCATTGTCCAGCAATGCAATAATCCCAATAAATATCCATCAGGCAGCAGCACAACATTGAACAATAAAAAAGTGAAAAGCAGAAGAGATAGAGATGAGGTCAAAGACGCTGAGGCAGAGCTCAGATTGAAGCTGAATGAATTATCAAGATTGAAGCTGAAGACTGAAGACTGAAGAATGATGAGGTCGAAGACGTGAGAGTGAGGCAGCGTGCGAAGTGAGAAGTGAAAACGCGTCTGACTCAGAGCGATACAGCGGTCGACACAGGCAATGAGCGACAGAGTGGAAAACACGAGAAGGGGGTCGATTGGAGCTGAAAATCTTAGGGCATCGGGTTTCTGGAGTTGGGACTGAGTAAAAAGAGGTGAAAAATGCAGAGTTTTGCGTCAGCCCGCGTCCGACCCGCGTCAACCCGTCTCGACCCGCATCTGCCCGCGTCCGCCAGAAACTGGGAAAAGGGACGCGCCGTTCCCCCGTCCTGAACGCGTGTCCGTGTCGGATACGTATCCGATACGGACACGCCGGCCATTTTCGCGTATCGGTGCTTCTGAGATGTTGAGTTTTAGAAGCTCTTTCTGGGGGTGAAAAGTCTGACTGAAAATCTGAGACTGAGAGGAATGGACAGGACAAACTAGAGAAGCAAAAAGAACGAGGAAATGTACAAGAAGGGAAATGATTGGAGAGCTGAAACACAGGCTAAAATCCATGGTTGAGAAATTTCTTTGGCTTGTTTCTATTCAGAACCATGCGTACTATTCAGAACCATGCGTGTGTCTGTTTGTTGGCATTGAGGTTGTCTTCTTCTTCCATGAGAAACGGAACAAAACCAGACTTGGAACTCCACTCATCACAGAAGAACTACTATTCTAAGCACCTTATAATTCAGTCTCCTTCACCATTTCCAATTCCTTGAAATCGCAGAACAACAGCAACTTTCTTCTATTCTCTCTCACTCTCTCGGGTCTAGTGCTTGAAATTTGAAAGACAATGGATATAGTATTTCAGACAACTTGAAGTCTTAGGCTTCTAGCTGATCAAGAATACACAGAAAAGAAAAAAGGGTTGAGTTTTCTTAAAGGTTTGGCCATGTGGGGTGGAACCGTGGAAGTATAAATGCCAGAAAATCATTCCGACTTTCAAATATGAGAGAGAGAGAGATTGTCCCCAGACCGCAATACAAAGACTGAAACTTTAGCTGTGTGTGTGTGAATATTGAAGGGCAAAGTGGTACATATGATTTCCTGTTATTCTTTTTTACTTCGGGTCTGAAGACAGATGGGAATTATATTAGAAAAATATATATATATATATATATATATATTTTATTTTATTTTTTTGCTTTTTCTGCTTTAAAGTTCCTTCCTATCTCTCTTTCTTTCCCACTTCCCTAGATGTTCTATTTGTCAGCCATTCCAATTTAATTTTCATTTCAAATTTATACATCCATGTATATACCCATCCCATACACTCATAAACAAGTAAAGGTAATCCACTTTCATCGCTCCCACTATTTTCTATACCCAAAATGCGAGGGTCTGGATAAGCTTATTCTACCCAAGCAACATAAAGACATTTGTCTAATCCTAGATTCAACCATTATTGAGTTTAATTAAAATATAATTTTTAAAACATGACTTTTTTATTTTTTGAAATTCAAACCCTCAAATTTTCTTAAAAAAATACAGAGTTCATTTCTTTCATCTAAGTTTTTTGCCATGAAATTTTAAATATTTGTTAAGAATTAAATCCAGAAGAGAATAATAGTAAAACAATCTTATTTTACAGTATAATCATTTTAATATGTCTGGAGGGTAGTGGTCAATTAATGAGAAAGAGTAAATAGGAAGAAATATGAGTTACAGAAGTAAAGATAAAATATGTAGACATGGCGTCTTCCTTAATATATCATCAATTTTAATTACTTGTTTTATTTTTTTTGGTCAGCACAGATAATAACTTCGAATGTGTATAACAAATATTTAATTTTATTATTATTATTATTATTATTATTATTCACGGGCACATTATTAGACTTGAACCGCGAAGTTTAGAAATCTCAAACTCGCTGAGCTGGACGTTGAATTTTGATTACATGTTGATGCAATTTGAATATTTGATAAGTACCCTTGATCACCACGCAATTTCTTTTTCTTTTTAAAACAAATCATGTAAAAATTCTCTATCAGATAGTTTATTGTGCACGCTTCTTTTCTCAGTAATGAAACTTAATATTTGAACAAGTTAATTGTGTGACAAATTTCTATTCCAAGAGATTAATCACATTTTGCATTAGTAATCATTTTTATACTGAAAAAAAAAAAAGCAAACGCGGGAGAAATCTATAGATATTCAACTGAATACGGAAATTAAATTTGCCTTTGAAATTAAGGGTTGAATCATAATTATATATACATATATATGAAATTAGGGTTTGAGTATATTGTGCTTCTTTTTAGGTGTGTGGCAATGATGCTTGCCACTTGTGAGCAGTCCCTTTATAATATAACTTGTGAATTTTTAATTTCTTGTTCTCAGGAAAAAACCTTAATTTATAATTAAGAAAAAAATGTGTGTGTGTGTGATCCATGGAATCTCATGGTCCAGAGCGTAGCGTACTACCACCACCGAAGTCACTGTCATCACTGTTGGTTGGCGTAAATATATTAGCAAAATTTTATAATCTCAGTGAATTAATACAATACATCTCACAAACCTTCACTTATAATTTGTATTTAATGAAGTTTGCACCCGCAACTCTATTTGTAGGCCTTGTAATTATATACACTTAATTACTTTCTGTTTCTCAAGTGGTTAGCTTACTTCTAATGACTTTTTATTTCACTATCTCTCATAATAGTACGCGCCGGTCAAGATAATGTAATAAGTTTGACCATTAATATATATATATATATATATATGTTTTTTTTATTCTATTTATAAATAACTTTTAACATATTTAATTAAAATTAAAAAAATTAAATTTTATTAAATTTATTTTAAAATTTAATAATTTTTTATTTTTATTCCTAATAAATATTTTTAAATTTTATTAATGATATTTTTATTCAAAGCATTTAATAAGGATAAAAACATAAAGAGAAACCTTAAAAATTAGCAAATGCCTTATAAATAGATTTAATTTTTTTTTCTCTCTACCTTATAAATAGAACCAGAGAGTATATTATTTTGAAGGAATGTGACACAAATATGTACATATGTGTTAAATATTAATTAAGCAGTGTTAATTGGACTTGGATTTCATGAATGCCTCAAATCTCATCATGAGTATCACATTAATTACAATCGTAGAATTTTATCATTACTTGAAAGTTTATGTTTGAACATAAATAAATGAAACAATGAGTTAAATGATAATTTTATGATGAGAATGTATGTCAATCATTTCTCTACAACTATATAAATTGTTAGATTAAAATATAGCACATAAAAACGGCAAAGTTGTAATTTGATATTCTCTCTCTATTTTGTGCTCACATTTCTAGCAACCATACGATTAAAATGATAATATCTATGGTGCCATGCGACTGACTAAAAAGATTCAAGACATTTATCAAATTGACTATGTGTTAATTACCACTGCACGCATATGCTCTCGTGTGAAAAATTAACCCATGCTGGTGGATGTGGGCAACAAAAACGTGCAATTTGTAGATACTTATATGTTTTTTTTAATACTTTGGCATGATATAAATCAATTTTATGAAAAAAATTATAATCAGGTCCTAAATAAAAATTAATTATTTTTTCAGTTCACTTACAAGTTAAACTTTAACATTTACACGTTAAACTCCAACATTTACAAGTAAATGGAATCTATAATTAATTTTCTCACACGAGACTCATACATAATTTTCTTAATTTTATCATTCAACAATTAAAGGCAAAAAACAGAAGATGGATTCATAATTAGGCAATACATGCACCTAACTTCTACTCAAATTCTTATTATAATAAATATAATATATATGAAATGATTTAATAGTAATTAAGGTCAGTGATGTATTGCAATTGCATGCATGGGATATATATTCGGTCCTAAGGCTACTTGGGTTGCAGAACCCTTTTTCCTCCAAGGGTCGACCTTTTAGTGGTTTATATATGTAAAAAACAGAATATTTTAATAATCTCTAAATTAGTCCATTGAACAACCTGTTAATTCTAAAGCTGCAGATACAGATCTCATGATTTCTCCATTCTTTCATTGTTTTTTTTTTTTTAATCTTGTTATGGTGAACTCGTTACTCTCGTGTGTTGTAAACAATGAACTCGTTACTCAAATTTTATTGGAAAACATTTGAAACAAATTTAATTGCTGTTGTCAGTATTTTAGATTATTCTAGTTATATCTTTTACAACATTTGCAAAGCAAACTCTCATCTATAAAAAATATAAATATTTAATAATTATTTTAAAATAAGCATTAAGTATGTGTTTAAAGTATTTTTGATAAATTTTT